GAATCCTAGAAAATATAAGTTTACTGTAAGTGAATCAGTTTTGATGATTCAGTCCTTCACCTGATTTCCAGACGTAAACGAGTGTATAACAGGAGAGCACAACTGTGACGCTAATGCAGTCTGCAATAACACTGAAGGATCTTTCGAGTGTACTTGCAAGCCAGGGTATTCTGTTAACTGCACAGATGATTATATTTTAGTAGAGATTTGGATCGTCTTAATGTTCAGGCTATTTAAATATCATCTTCCTCGAGATCACGCCTTTGAGGTTGAGTAGGATGTAAGGAATTAAGCGAAGAGGATGATAATCCTCTGCAGTCCTGGGGTGACTCAATCCAGGTTATGTGACGAGTAAAAAGGTGAGCCCAAAGGGAATATAAACAGTATTGCAAAGTTAGTTTAGTAGAAGTTGTTTGAAAATACGATCTTGAAAAGAAGGATAAGTGGTACTAAAACGTGCCTAACAGCCAGTGTAAGCAAAAATGATGAAGTTAAACTACTGTGGGAGCATCCAATGCTATCATGTCATTTAAGCTAGACGTGATAATGTCTAGACAAAGTGTGCCATTGTCGATGTTGCTGTACCAGGGGAAAAGAGAATTGGTGAACAGGAGTATGAGAAGGTTAACAATCATCAGGAGCTTAAAAGAGAAATTGTATAAGGACCGCGATGTGGAACATGAAAGCTGCGCAGGTGATACCGACTGTTGTAGGATTATATATTGGGAAGTGTGACGAATAACTTGAACAAGTGACTGGAAAAATAAACATAACAATTATTAATTCATTTCTTCAAAAAACTACATTACTAGGAAATTAAAAGCAAGGATTTTAAGGAAAGTATTGGAGTTCTAAAGTAAGAAGTCGCATACTAAGGGGTCTTTGGTCATGGGTGATGACTCGCGAGCTCCCTTAGCAAGTAAATCGGTATGACATCAGCCAGTGCACAAGCAAGAAAACAACAACAACAATAACAATAATGATACTAATAATAGTAACTAGGAGTAATCGGAGCTTAGGAGAGTGCGTTCGATATGTTTGCTAGGAGTACAGGTAACAGTTGAGGGGAAAGGGTGGATGGTTCTTGTGATACATAACTATGATAATGGCATATTTTGAACGTAAGGGTTGCGTACAGTGAAACCTCGACTTAAGATGACTCGACCCAGTTTTTTTTAGGGGGTACCATCCTACTTTGAAGCTCTCTGGTATCCCCACCTTTACTTTTATCGTTAAGTATAACACATAGAATGGATAACATATAGATCAATCTACAATATAACATAAAATTTTTGGCGATCGGAGTAAATGTCACGTGGTTATAATGACACGCCCCTTTAAGGTCTGAGTCGAAAAACTGCTGTTGCCAGCTTTTTTTCGTGAAAATCTCTCGGCTACACATAGTGCGCATTAGTGTCTTGCGCTGAACAGAGTTTCACCAAAATCGCAAAGACCCAATTCGAGAAATCAGCGGTTTCTAAATTCAGGTCATAATTTATGCGAAAATGATAAGCAAACTTTACACGGATTATTTCTAATAAACTATGAGATTCATCTCTGTATTCTGGGCATCCTTATAACAGATGGGTCCTTGCAAGTCAGCAAAACGCTTTAGGGCCTTGTAAATGCGCGCGATTTCGAGCAAAGCAAACATTTAGAAATTATAGTTTTCGCTATTTGTTGACGTTTGTCAGCGTTTAAGAGTCCTTCTCACGAAAAAAGCATTTTCTTAAAAATTCGTAGTTTTTTTTCCTTCAAATTTTTTCAGGGCCACAATTGATTAACTAACTACCCGGACTCTGAATTTCATGGTCATTGAAAAACTGTGACATTATCTTCTATAAGCCCAAACTTGAGTAAACATTGAAGATTTTTAGCGTTTTGGCTGAGTTTGTGCTTTGGGAGTTGTCTATTGTTTCTAGTCTGTCATTATACAGCATTCTTGTTCAGCACGCGTGCAATGACCGCGCTTGGCTGACTTCCGAATGCTCACCGAGATATAATAATTTTGGTACAGTGAGACAGGCCATCGCGTGATACATAGAGGTTTAAGTCACAATTTTTAATCAATTCTCGTGCTTCTTGTGCCTTTGCAAAAAAATCAAGAAGTGCTACACACTAAATCTACTTACTATTAAAAAAATATCATTTTTTCATAGGTTTAATGCAAGCCAATAATTAAACCAACTCGTGACGGGAATATCTCGGTGAGCATTCGGAAGTCAGCCAAGCGTGGTCATTGCACGCGTGCTGAACAAGAATGCTGTATAATGACAGACTAGAAACAATAGACAACTCCCAAAGCACAAACTCAGCCAAAACGCTAAAAATCTTCAATGTTTACTCAAGTTTGGGCTTATAGAAGATAATGTCACAGTTTTTCAATGACCATGAAATTCAGAGTCCGGGTAGTTAGTTAATCAATTGTGGCCCTGAAAAAATTTGAAGGAAAAAAAACTACGAATTTTTAAGAAAATGCTTTTTTCGTGAGAAGGACTCTTAAACGCTGACAAACGTCAACAAATAGCGAAAACTATAATTTCTATATGTTTGCTTTGCTCGAAATCGCGCGCATTTACAAGGCCCTAAAGCGTTTTGCTGACTTGCAAGGACCCATCTGTTATAACGATGCCCAAAATAAAGAGATGAATCTCATAGTTTATTAGATATAATCCGTGTAAAGTTTGCTTATCATTTTCGCATAAATTATGACCTAAATTTGGAAACCGCTGAATTTCTCGAATTGGGTCTTTGCGATTTTGGTGAAACTCTGTTCAGCGCAAGGCACTAATGCGCACTATGTGTAGCCGAGAGATTTTCACGAAAAAATGCCGGCAACAGCAGATTTTCGACTCAGACCTCAAAGGGGCGTGGCATTATAACCACGTGACATTTACTCCGATCGCCAAAAATTTTATGTTATATTGTAGATTGATCTATATGTTATCCATTCTATGTGTTAGACTTACGATAAAAGTAAAGGTGGGGATACCAGAGAGCTTCAAAGTAGGATGGTACCCCCCAAAAAAACTGGGTCGAGTCACCTTAAACTGTGGATCATAATGAAAAGGTTTTGAAGGCTAGTGATCAGCGTGATATCTCAAGTGCTTGTTATTTGAGGAGACACTGGCCAGAGTGCTTCGGGCGTGTAAAAAGAACTTTTTGTTTTACTGGCGCAATAGATGTTCTACAGGGCGCAGTTGTTCGAAGGCCGATCAGCGCTTAACCCGGGTTTCTTTTTCTGTTGTTAAAAAAACATTTCTTTGGATAATTTTCCCAGTTATTTTAAGAGCGTCCAATCATCAACTTGTTAACAAAATGAAGCCGGGTCGCGAGTTCGATTCTCGCCCGGGGCATGAGAATTTCCTTTGTCCCGGGCGAGCATGGTTTCTCCTCCTTCCAAGTTGAAAATGTTTACTGGAAGTGTATGTGTGCTGCTCACTAGTGTATCATTAAAATTAATAAGAATAAAAGAAAAATTAATTTACGCAACCACGAGTTGCAAAATGGCGGGTGAAAGGTAAGTGACGCCGACTGATTATATTTTTCTTTTTATGATCCGAGTTGATTTTTTTATGATCCTAGTCCAATTATATTTCATTTTTATTTTTTAATTCGATCCGAGTTGATCCGGTCCGACTTTTATACCTGCCTAGCTAAAATGTTCGTTTGTCCAGTGCCGAAAATATCACACGTCATGATGAAATGGTGCCGCCGAGCTTCACATCTCGGTAGATTTACTTTGTGGAATAACGGACGCCGAGCTAGCTACACAACTCAGTAGATTTACTTTGTGGAACAACAGACTCTGCGCTTCACAACTCGCCGGTAAATTTACTTTGTGGCTACACAACTCGGTAGATTTACTCTGTGGCACTACGGCCGCCTAGCTAGACAACTCAGAAGATTTACTTTGTGGCACAACAGATGCTGAGCTTCACAACTCGCCGGTCAATTTACTTTGTCGCACAACGGACGCCGAGCTAAACAACCCGGTTTGATGCATAAAATTTTACTCATGGTGTAAACTTTCAGCACTCTTTTAAAAGATGAACGCTTTGGAAGATTCATTAAACACAGATCGATAATAGACCTTCAGCAAACTCTTAAATATGTACGCTTTACGAATATTCAGCACACTTTTTGAAAGATGAACGATTTACGAAGACAGTATAGCAGACCTCAGCAAACGTTTGAAAGATGAACGCCGAGGACACACGAATCACCACGTGAGTTAGCGCGTCAAAGTGAGGCAAAACGTAAGCAAGCGCATCAAAGCGAGGCAATTGTGTGTCGACGACGACGACGAATTCAATCTCGAAAAAACCTCCCTTATTAATTGCACAGGACACCTAATAATGCACAGAACACCTAACACAGATTAGGGGTTGCGTTCTCGTACCTCGAACGCAATAATAATAATAATTTGAGTGAGAATTATAAGACTTATATCGTGAATAATGGAAATAGGACTGAGTAACGGCTAATCATATTTATAACAAAATTTGTGATAAATTCAGATTTTATGAAGCTATACTATTTAAAACAGATGCAATATCTAGCGAGAGTTTCAAACAGAGAATCTTTAAAAGAGGGAATCTTCAAAATGGGGAATCTTTAAAACGGGGAATCTTTAAAAGCGGGAATCTTAAAAACGGGGAATCTTTAAAAAAGGGAACCTTTAAAACGAGGAATCTTTAAAAGCGGGAATCTTTCAAAGCGGGAATCTTTAAAATGGGGAATCCTTAAAAGCGGGAATCTTTAAAATGGGGAATCTTTAAAAGCGGGAATCTTTAAAACGGGGAATCTTTAAAAGCGGGAATCTTTAAAATGGGGAATCTTTCAAAGCGGGAATCTTTAAAACAGGGAATCTTTAAAACGGAGAAATCTTTAAAAGCGGTGATAAAAGTGTTGACAAGCCTACACGACTCCTGCTGTTCGCGTATGAATAAATTCTGACTAATAAAGCGTTCATAGCTTAGCTTTAACTTGGATGTCCTTTAGGGATTTTCCCTTACGATATGAGATGATGGGGGCTCCTTAAAGATTTCTCTCAGTTGCGGTTGATTTTCTATAAGGTGCCATTTCCCCATGAGTGTGTCCTTTAGGTTAGTGAACGCTGGATGGTATTGTGTTACAAAGGGCAGTATTTTCTTAGGTGCGGCTTTGTTTTTCTGCCCTAACGACATTTCTCTATCAGAGAATTTAATCTCTGAAAGGTGTTTTTCTACAATTCTAGCTGGGTAATACCTATTCTGTAGGCATGTTTTGAAATTACTCATGTTTTCCTTAAAAGTAAATTGAGAGGAGTTTGTTCTCAGAAGCCTTAACGCTTCTCCTTTTATAAAGTCTTTCGTGACGCCTGGTGGGTGACACGAATAGAAATTCGTGTATTGAAAGGTTTCTGTAGCTTTGAAATGCATTCGTACGGCAAGAATAGATTCCTTATTGAATCTGTCACCTTTGTACATTTTTGTGTCTAAGAATGTGATTTCTGTTTCTGAGATTTCAGCCCTGAATTTGATCGTTGGGCGAAAACTGTTTGCCTTTACAAGGAAATCCTCTATTTTGTTTCTGCTTGTGTTCCACATAGATATGACGTCATCCATGAATCTTTTCCAAAAAATTGGTTTTGTGGTGCTTTGTCTGAGTATTTCTTTTTCTATTTTGGCCATAAATATGTTAGCAAAAGCTACGGCCATTTTCGTCCCCATGGCTGTTCCGTGAGTTTGGAGGTAATCTTTTCCATTGAATTGGAACGAGTTTTCTTGTAGAATCAGACTTAGCATTTCTCTTAAATACGTGGTAGGAATGGGAGGGTTTTCCTCATGGAATTCTTCGTAAGCTTCGCATTTGAGACAAGAATTGTACTTTTAGGCACTTTAGTCTTCTCGATGAAGTTAAGAAAGTCTGTTGTATCTTTGAGATACGAGGCTTGTTTTTGTGCTATTGGCTGAGTGAGGTTATCAACAAAAGCTGAGATTCTTTCTGTAGGGCCGTCACACCCTAATATGAGGTGTCGGTTTGTGAATCTTTGTAAGTGTAAAATACTGGTATTCGCGGAGGATCGGGTGTAAGGGAAAGCCATTTAGCCGTCATGTCGTCTATGTGGCCTTCTTGAAGTAGTGATTGAATCAATCGATGAACCTTTTTGGCTGTGGTGCCAAGCATAGGGTTGTCTAAGGGTCGGTAGTTATGTATATCATCAATTTGGACTTGACCCTCGTTAAGTTTATCTGTTCTGTTCATTATGACGGTTGTGGTTCCCTTATCAGCTTTTTTTTTTATCTCAATGTTCTTGTCACGCGATAGTTTAGAGCTTTTCGCTCTTCCTGTGACAGGTTGTCATGCGGCCTGTTAAATTTGATATTAGCAAGCTCGAATTTGACTTCTTCTCAGTCGGAAGGTCTCAAAGCAACTGAGGGCTGGACTGATGGGTCCCAGTCTGCCTTAACGTGGAGGGGATGAGGTTCTTTATCTTTACCGTGAAATATGTATTTAAGTTAAGGCGCATTCTTCTGGCAAATTGACTGAAGTCATTGAGTAGCTGGCGCCTGGTTTTCTCTTGTCACGGGAGTGGGAATGAATTTTAAAGGATAGTAAGGTAATTTGCTCGTCTATCAGCTGTGAATTTGACAGGTTTTTGATATGCTGGTTGTCTTGTCTTACCCTTTAGAAATAAGGGAAGAAGGGAAAAGAAGCAGAACTCGTAACAAAGCGGTTAAAAGCCGCAAAAGAATCGAGCGGAGAAAAGTCAAAGAGAAAAAGCGCTTCCTAAACAACATTTGAGTGATTACAGAAAACTGTTTGTGAGTAGTCCTTTTGTGGGCGAAAACGACTATTTAGAAAAAAAGGTACACTAAATAGTCGCGCCTCCTGTTTTACAGAAGTTGCCGAAAATAAAACAGAAAAACACAATTGTGACAACAGCTTCAAATGCCATGACACAGAATGATCCTTCCTATGTATCGGCACGGGACCAGAATATTTCGGCGTTAATTGCGTAGGCAAACATAAAATGTACATTGAGATTGTAGATTCCTCTGATAAAAAAGGCGGCTGTGTGATGGTTTCGGCTCCATTAAATCCTATACCAATTGCAGAACATTTTAGGAGGGGCCACCCACCATGTGAGCACAGTCACGGACAATGTATAAGTGAGGAAAATAACGCAAAGTAAAGTTAAGACGTTAATAAACGAACTAAATGTACACGTCAATTAAATAAATAAACAAATAATGCGCGCGCCAAAATAAAATTGCACGCGCACACGAACCGAGATACAACTGAAATATAACACTATGCAATAAATAAGTAATGTAAGGATACGATGATGCAATTCAAGCCTGGATTGCTAATCTCATCTCCCGCAGGGCTGCACCATACTTCTCGACGATAAGACCGTGGCGACTGTTTGTACGTTTAATTTTGTGTTTAAATTAGTATTATTTCAGTAGCTTTTAATGCTGCTCTCATTTCGGTGTCTGAACACCGACATGATATGTCTTTAAACTTAGAGGTTGCCAGCGTACAATGGATTCACGCGAATTGTGTAAGTAAAAAAGCACCCCATGCACCACCCCCCCCCCCCCCCCCCCCCCCCCCCCCCCCCAACACTATCCTTCCCTCTCGGGGGGGAAAAAGAGCACACTTACAGAGAAACGGAAAATTTTCTCAGCCCCTTTTGTCCAAATTTTTAAAAAGACAGAACAATACATAAAACATAAAAAAAAAAACAAAAAAAAACACATTCTATTTCTTATTGCGTTTATTATTTTTTACTCTCCTCTTATTTTTAGGGATATTCATGGACTCAAATATATTGAAAATAAATTCTTCTTATTTGTACCATCTGGGAAAATTTCTGGAGCCTGCTTTTGGGAAAAATTCTCACTGGCTACTGTGCTGGCGGGCTACATTGCACGGCTGGGATGTCGATAAACAGTTTCACAGACGCTGCGATGGAAAAAGAGACACAGTTACCATAATAAAAAAGGGTAAATACGTTTTTGGAGGTTACACGGACATTCCTTGGGGTAAGAATATTGCTTGCTCAGTATAAAACCAAATAGCAATAAAACGTAAAGTTGAGCCAGCTTAACTATTTTTACTGCTGTAAGAACTAGGGAGGCTGGTTGGTACTTATTAACGATTCTGTAAAATTGCGTATATGTTGAATATCTCCTCCCGATTCCTGGCGAGAAAATACTTTGACCATAGTATTAACTCAATACTATGTCTTCTACACAAGCCACCAAACTGTGACACCCACGGGCATTTTTGTCCGAATTTTTGGCAACATAGCTATTCCTACCAACTGGAGTACGCTGATTTGGAGTAAGCTGAAAGCTTGTGTTAAGGTGGAGTTTTGGGGCATTTCCTTATCACTTCACTGTGCAAATAAGGAGCTTTCTTTCCTTTCCCAATTTTGAATTTAATAGATCCAGAAATGGTTTCAAAGGGCTCTACGCACATTTTAAAGACCATTTAAAGAATTTATAAAACGCTGTTTCTGCGAATTTCGAGGCGTCACATGACAATTGACCACACCCTTTGATATAAAATTCACACGATTATGGCAAAAGATGTGATATTTATATAAGATAAGTATTAAGATAATTAAAAAGTATATTAAAATAAGCCATTCTTTGATTGCTCGAGCTCTTGGCAATTATTGCAAAACCTTCACATTCCTGCAATTTTCCTGTCACTAAATAAGCTACAAGACCAAGGCAACTTCGAAATTCCAGTAAGTTCAAATAGTTTAGGATAGCCCGACTGCTTAATAAAATGTAGGTGCATGGAGACATCTAAAAAGAAAAGGAGCTGCAGCAATTCTCTCAGTACATACGCTAAGGAGTGGCTTTCCAAAAGGACCGACGAGAGATGTGCAAAGCTGCTAGACGCGCAAAGGCACGGAAAAGTGTTTGTGATGAACAAAATAAAGAGGCAATAAAAAGAGACAGCGTAAGAGATGTAACAACTCCTAGGGCTTTCCACAAGTTTCTCGGCAACTTTTTGGCAACTTCTCGTATTTCGTCGAGCAATTTTTTGCATCCTGAGCATTTTCTCTAGTTATCTTCTAATTCTGAGATATCGGAGCAGCTTTTAGTGCTTCAAATTGGCTTTCCTTTTCACTTTTCACAATGTTTAAATAAACAATTTCTGAATTTCCTGTAAAAAAATGGAGCCAAATCAAGACCAAAAGAAGCCGGGCTGCTAAGTCAGCTGTTTTTAGAGAAAATTCAAAGTGGTGGACGAAGATTCACACTCGACTGATTTGTGTCTCGGGTGAAGAAGGTCACTGGCAACATTTTTATTGGCTCTTTAGACTCTCTGGTTTTTATTTAAGACAAAGTTATTTAGCAACGCTGGTTACGCCGCGAAATTGCACAAAACGCTTAGAAATCTTACTTTTGTTGTACAAGTTGCATATTTTAGCATCAGACCAAAAAAAGTTGTTGTTCTTTTTCGAGCAACTTTCGTTACAAAAAGCAACTTTTGTTTGTTTTTTGAGCAACTTTTTGAGAAATTACGGGAAACTTTTTGAGAAATCTCGAGCAGCTTGTGGAAAGCCTAGCCACTCATAACTCACTTCGTCTCACAATGGCACAGAAATTTGTTATCGTGACTTCATACACAAAGTGAAAATTGAACTTTTGAAGGAAAAGCTAGTAAATAGGGACCTTAAGATCCGACGATGGCGACGGCAACGGGAACGCCACAAAAGCAATAGGTTTAATTCTGTTAATTAGCAAAACAACAATTTTGCACGTGCATCGCGCTTTTTTGTACATTTCTTTGCCGTCACTGCACGACTACGACGTGAAAATGCCTAATTTCACGATGTACAGAAGAAGCACACAAGCGACGTCGAAATTTCCTCTCTCTTTCTGAACTTGGATATGGTTCTTAGGAATTAAACTTTAGGAGGGTTCGCCTACATTTGACAAAGTTAGTGACTTGGAGTAATTGCGATAAAGATTGAACGAACGTGAATTCACTTTTTCAGCGACGTTTTCTCTGCTGTCGCTGTCCTCGGATGTTAAGGTCCCTAGTAATCCCCCCCTCCCCCAAACGCAGAAAAAAGTATTTCTTTTGACAACGAGGCGGCCTCCACTTCATTAAAAGAGCAAGTAGCACGAAGTACTAGGAGAAGTGTCGCACCAGTACAATGGAGTCTTTCTGTACCTTGCCAAAAATCCGAAAACCCGAGAGATGCTCAAATTAATCATTTACACCATTCAATGTAAGCAATTCAGTTCCAGCAATTGAATCGTCTTATCTGGATATAACCTGAATTTCAGACGATTACTTCGAGTCGTTTTTACTTCCTCATGCAGTAACATCTGATTCGACTGGCCGTTAATACCGTCCAGTGATGTCACTACTCATTTGCCTTAATTCATGGAAAAAGTAAAGCACGATTTTCAACTGGCAAACAACGAAATATCGTCTGGAAATGTCTACATGACACAGAAGTTCTTTACTCTTTTTGATCGTAATTCATGTTTAGCGTTTAAACTGTCAACTACATGCAGTACTCTGAAAGAATCTGTTGTACTTTTAATTCAATACTCAAACTCGATCGCAGTCACGCAGATAAGACAAGCTTAACAAAATAGACACACCGAACACTTCAAAAACACAACGATTTGCTTTAAAAAAAAAGAAGCTATTTGGTGCTTAACGAAGAAGAAAAAAAAACAAGAAAAAAAGTTAAACAGAATCATTACACTTGACGGTGGAAATTACAAGACTTAAATCCCAGAAATTTTCGCTTTCGAAT